CCTGTGGAGCCAGGGGACTTGAGAATAGAGCATCTGGCCGAACTAAGAAAGGAGTCAAATTAATGCACTGGAATGCAGAGGGGATTACAAATAAAAAGCTAGAGTTAGAAAATATTCTAAATAAGGAAAAGATTCATATATGCTGTCTACAGGAAAGCCACCTCACTGAAGACAGTCTTCAAAATCAGAGGTTATCAGTGCTTCCGATCAGACCGGGAAAAGGGTGGAATACTGACTCTTGTGAGGAACAATATCACAGCGTGCCAGACTGAAGTATATATGGATGGAGCAGAATATCAGATTCTGAAACTACAAACTGGAAATGCAGACTTCTACCTGATCAATTATTACTGCCCAAGTGATCGCCCCCAGGCATTAGACACAATCCCAGTGGAAGAAAAGATGATTATATGTGGAGACTTTAACAGCCACTCACAAAGCTGGGGATACGACCATATAGACCAGAGAGGAGAGAAACTGGAGGAGTGGCAGGATGAGAACAGATTTGTTCTGATTAATAGGCCAACTGATCCACCCACATTCTACTCGAGGTCGTGGCACACCACTACTACCCCAGACCTAGCATTTCACTCCCCAGATCTGGAATGGAACATTAAACGAGTTGTTGGAAATCAACTGGGAGGCAGTGACCATCGACCGATCTTCCTGAATGTAGAAAATGAGAAGGTCACAGAAACTAGTACGCTGCCAAGGTGGAACTATAAGAAGGCTGACTAGACAACGTTCAAGCACCGTACCAGTATACTGCTGGGCAGTCTCAGCGTAGACCAGGATATAAATAAAGTAGTTAAAGAATTTAACAAATGCCTACTAAAGGCAGCAGGAGAATCAATACCAAGAGGTGCCCGTAAGCATTATAAGCCATCCTGGAGTAATGAGCTAGAAAATTTACATAACGAAGTAGAAACATCCAGAAAGATAGCAGAGACCAGGCCAAACCAAGAACATCACAATAACTACTAGCATGCAAAAGCAAAATTTGTTAGGACAAAGCTGCAGGTTAGAAGGGAAAGCTGGCAGGAGAAAACAAGGTCACTGAACTTTCAAAAAGACCAAGAAAGTTATGGAAGCTTGTGAAACAAATTAATGATGAGGACACAGGGTGGAACTCAAAGATCACGATGCAGAAAGATGGAAACATGGTCACAGGAAAAGAGGCAGCCAACCTATTTGCAGACGCTTTTGCTTTAGATAACGACATTGAAATCAGTTCAGAGAAAAAACGCAAAATTCAAGAAAAGACACAATTTAGAAGTCAGAAAGAAATAACATCAGAGGCGCTAGAGGTGCCAATTACACTTAATGAACTGGAGTTGGCCATTTCAAAGCTGAAAATGCGGAAGTCACCAGGAGCAGATGGTATATCAAACGAAATGATCAGAAACTTAGGAAAAGTAGCCAAAACAAAGCTTTTACAGATATTTAATGCTTGCTGGGCAACAGGGAATGTTCCACAGATCTGGAGAGAGGCAATTATGATACCCCTCATAAAGCCTGGGAAAGACAGTTCTAATGCCTCCAACTACAGACCGATCAGCCTCACAAGTTGGCTCTGTAAAACAATGGAGCGCATCACCAACCTCAGACTACAGTGGTACATTGAAAGTGAAAACATCATTACACCACAGCAGGCGGGCTTTAGAAAGTTCTACTCTACGGAAGACCAGACAACATACCTCTCCCAAGAAATAGAGGATGCTTTTCAAGATAAGAAACTGGTACTCGTGGCATGGATAGATTTAAGGAAAGCTTTTGATAAGGTTTGGAAGGAGGGGCTTTTGAAGAAATTGAGAAACTATAAAGTAAATGGAAGAATGTACAATTGGATTAAAGCATATCTACATAACAGAAGAGCCCGGGTACAGGTAGATGGTTTGAAAAGTAAAAAAGTTTTACTGCGACAAGGCGTCCCTCAAGGTGGTGTCCTGTCGCCCACACTTTTCCTTTTATTCATCAATGATCTGGTTGCTGAGATACCAAGTGGAATCAAAATGGCAATGTATGCCGACGACCTGGTACTGTGGTGCACCAATGAACATGCAACGATAGCCACAAAAACACTACAGTGGGCTACAAATGCACTTGAGGCATGGGCCAATAGATGGTGTGTCAGCATCAACACAGACAAATGTAGCACCACACTATTCACCCTCTCCCCAAAGCAAAAAGCCGGCACCATCAAAATAAACGGAATACCCCTGAGAGATGATAAAGAGCCCACATACCTAGGAGTCACATTTGATGACAGGTTGACATGGAGAAAACATATCAACAAGGCAGCAACCAAAGCCAGGAGGAAGACAACAGTACTAAGAAAACTAAGTGGAACCACATGAGGAGCCGATGGGAAAATACTCAATAAAGTATACAAGCAGAGCATACTTCCACACTTGGAATATGGGTCAACTGCATGGTGTTCAGCATCTATTAACACATTAAAGGAGTTAGACAAAGTGCAAAATCAAGCGCTCAGAGTCATCACAGAAGGGATGAAATCAACCTGTTGTACACTTAATTGTACTCTTTGTTGTAGTACACTGTATCTTCAAGAACCAAGTATTTAGGCCTAGGGTGCCTATTCTAGTATTCCGCTGGATATCTCCTTGATGGATGTGCTACAGTGAAGTCCTGCAAACTATAACTGGTACATTTGGCCCAGCATTATCTAACACAGTTGTTATCTTTACGAGTCAACAATAACGCTTGTGACAGGCCACATAAACTTTAATGGCAATAAAGTTACACGTCACAAGATGATGATGATTATTCAATAAAACGTACGATAATAACTCTATTATCTACTTTGAGGATATAAAAGAATTACACTCTTTTCTCAATGGACTCCTGCCATTATAATAACTAAACAGACATTAAACTGTCTCCCGTAAGTACGGTTAATCCAAAACCTCACAAAGAGGGAACGTCCTACTTGGACAAGGAAAATATCTTGACTGCAGAATCGTTTGTGTTCTGCAGGAGCCTTTGTGTTAATCGCCCAGAATTCAATTAGCTCGTATCCCTGGTAACAACCCGACCCGTGGCCGCTGTGTGAACCTTTCACCTGCGCTGTGACCACTAGAAGAAACTTTAACTCTTGGACAATAAGATTACAACACAACCCCCAATGTACTCCAGGACTGCACCGATTTTGACACATTGAGGCAAACCTTTTGGCCAGAAAGAACAACAGTAGAACGTAAACTCTACCGACCACTGAATGAACTAACAACGAAAGTGAAATTTATACAAGAGACAAAACTGCTGATATAGACAACTTATTTCAGGCGAACGAAAGAAGAAGAAGAACTGACACCCTCACTCTACACCAGTGACACTGACACCCTCACCTCTACACCAGGGACACTTGACACCCTCACCTCTACACCAGTGACACTGACACCTTCACTGCTACACCAGTGACACTGACACCCTCACCTCTACACCAGTGACACTGACACCCTCACCTCTACACCAGTGACACTGACACCCTCACCTCTACACCAGTGACACTGACACCCTCACCTCTACACCAGTGACACTGACACCTTCACTGCTACACTAGCCTGACAAGTGAAAGTTGGACTGAAACAATACACAGTCACACATATAGTTGTGTTTATAGCAAATTTTGATATAGTTGTAATTATGATTATAGCAGACATTGAATTGGTTGGTATAATTGCGATTGTAGCAAATGTTGACATAGTTGTTGTAAGCAAATGTTGATAACATTTCATGCAAAACCAAGATAAGATTGCTCAGAGCACTAGCTATCAGTACATTTACATCTGGCTGGGAAATGTGGACCTTAACAGCTGAACTTGAAAGAAAGATACAAGCATAAGAAATGCGATTTTTCAGAAACATTCTTGGCTTATCATATAGAGACGACATTACAAACAAAGAGGTTCACCATAAAATTCTACAGCACATTGGCAGCTATGAATCTCTTTTAACTTCAGTGAAAAATCTATATGATGATATAGTTGATGTAATTGTGATTATAGCAAATGTTTTTTTAGTTGATGTAATTGTGATTATGCAAATGTTTATGTAGTTGTTGTAGTTGTGATTAAAGCAGACATTGACATAGTTGGTGTAATAGTGATTATAGCATATATTGACATAGTATTGATATAGTTGGTGTAATTGGTAACTGTGGTATTGAATTTGACATCATGTTGATTGGAGTATTGCTTCCTATGTGCGATAGTTGGATAACTAGTTAGTAGTTATGAATGCACACATATGATAATGAGAAAGCAAACCCACACTTTCATTTCTTTATTATTGTTCTAAATAAAGGATTGTCTAGCTGCTGTCTTCCGATCTTTTATGTAGTCTGAGATTCAATAATCAAATGTTAAAATACACGCCTACGATGTTCGCAATCATCAGCAATAGTTACTTTGCACTTTTGGTGGATCATTCATGCAACACACAGCCAACAAGTTTGCATCTCCGACACTCTGCTGCCAATCTTCAATCAGGCATTAATCTTTAGGAATCAGAACTTCTTCGCATGTCATCGATACACTTTATTACAGCCACACGCCTCTAACTCGACCAGTCACTCTCGCTGCTAACACCAATTGATTCGATCTTTGTTTCACCTTTAAAACCTTTCTCTGGTTTTCCCATGCTGTCACCCTTTCACAGTTCAGTTAAACCTGTGATTTTGCTAGCGGTTTCTTTCTTACATCCTACTCCCGTGACGCTATGTCACCATCTGGAAAATCGCCTCATTACATTGATGTAGTCGGTTTTATTGGGATTATAGCAAATGCTGATATAGTTGGTGTATTTTTTATTATAGTAAATGTTGTAATAGGTATATCTGGTTTTGCTGTGATAACAAATGTTGATAAAGCAGGAGTAATTGTAATTATAGCGATGTTGAGGTAGTTGTGGTTACAACACATGAAACCAGTGACTAACAAGAGATGATGTTACTAGTCTGCTGTTTGTGTCTGGGACAGTGGTTGTTCTGACAGAGGTGGACAGGCTGACCAAGGATGCCCAGCATGCGCTGCGCCGCACCATGGAGAAATACATGGCCACCTGTCGCCTGATCCTGTGCTGCAACACCACCAGCAAGGTGATTCCTGCCATCCACAGTCGCTGTCTGGGCCTACGGGTCGCTGCTCCCTCGCTGGAGGAGGTAATCTTTCTTTGTAATACATACCTGGCAACCTCCTAGCATGACCATTTTGATCAAATGTCGGTCAAAACTTATCTGAGATCTGAGCAGTTCTCGAATGAGCAGTTCTATTTGTACTCAAGGTAGCGATGCTTCTGGGCTCCTGGACTTCAGACTAGATAGTTTACAATAGGGGTCAGTCATTTCACCTGTATTCTACACAAGTAGGATTGCAGCTATTGTGGCACCAGGTTGTGGTTAAAAGGGTGCTCATGTTTGCATACGATATTCTGGCCTATAGGTAGGGTAGGATATCGGAAGAGCCCCAGTTAATTTGTTGGCTTCAGGATTGTTGATAAACCCAAACAAAGCCTAACAATATGGTATTCTTTGGACAATAGAACTGTTGTTAAATTGAGAATCGGCATCACATCATTCGGGACACCCCCAGAAGCGCTCTGTCCCCATCTTCTAAAATTCTGATGGTACCAGTAACTGTCTGATTGTATATCCGTCTCGACTTTCCCCAGAGTTTCAAGCGTTGGCCAGATCCCCTTGTACCTTCTCGCAGTGACATTCTCCTCAGACCGTAATGATCTATCTGTTTCTCGGCAATAGAACTGTCAAAGCAGAAGTCCCAAGATCACAATAAATAGAGAAGTAGCCAGAAAAGAGAACACTGAAATATTTAGTTGAATTTGACAGGGGACTGTCTTTGCAGTTATCCTAAGAGCACACAAAAAAAAAAAAGGAGAATGCGCTAAAGGTTGTGGCTTCAAATACATATAATAATACAAGGTCCGACGATTAAGTAATGAGACTGGTTTTATTATGGCCAAGACAAAAATTCCATCTATGAAGCAAAGCATGGAATCTAAAGAGGCAACATTAATCTGTGATCTGGAAACTTTTCATCGCCGCTTGATAAGCAGACAACAAACAAGGCACTATTTTGTTGACCTAGTCAGAGGTGCATTGTTACGTAATCAGTACGAAGCAAAAAAGCTAACATTAAATTATTTTTAAAACTCAGAAAAAGCGCCATTGAAACAGTTTAATTGATGCAACAAGTTTATGTGGATAATTGTTTATCTCGTTCACAAATTTGTAGGTGGTGTTCACGATTCAGAAGTGGTGTGGAAATGACTACTAATGCACCTAGACCTGGACATCAAATTTCTGTTCGTAATGGTGAACTCATTGCAAAAGTCAGAGAATGGATACAAGAAGATCATTGTTGTACTGTGAGGATGATGGCAGATGAATCTGGTGTTGATAGAGAGACCATAACATTTTAGTGCAATATTTTGACAAGAAAAAAGTTGCTTGTCAGTTTGTACCACATTTGTTGTTTGATGACCAAAAACATCAGCAGGTTGAGTACCCAAAAGACATCAAAACAAGAATTTTTTTGGGCCCAAAAACAAGTATGTGTTCTCAGCCTTCCAGCCTATTTCCCTGTGATTATTTTTTTCCCCACAACTAAAGTTACAATTGGAAGGAAGCTTCTTTAACGATATTGATGACATCCAAAGGGCCGTGACATCGACTTAAATGGCCATAACAACAGAAAAACAACAGAGGTCGTTCCACTGTTTGTTAGATCGTGCAACTTGCTGTATCAATGCACAAGGGGCTTACTTTGAATCAGATAAAGGTTATATCTTCATCTGTATATGCTGTTACATGATCAGTGCCCATTAGCAACCTCCTAATCATTTTTGTAAACATTTTTTGAGCATTCAGAAGTCCAAAAGGTAACCTCAACTGTTTTAAGCCAGTGGGTGTTTGGAAACTGGCTTTTTTATTCCTGGCATTCTGGGTAAGAGGAATCTGCCAGTATCTCTTACACAAGTATAGTTTCATGAAAACTTGGGATCGTACAGCTTCTAGATATTTTCATCTGATGATGGAATCGGTTCTGACTCTATATAAAGAATGTCATTCAATTTCCTATAGTCAACACAGTCTCAAATTACTATTTTTTTGTTCTAAACACTTACCATGGGTAAACTATACCATGAAGTAGAATCTGTGATTATGCCATCTTTGTGTTGTTGTTTTAACTCTTCTACCACTTTATCCAAATAATGCACTGGTATTGCATAATTCCTGGCTCTTGCTGGGACAGTTAAGTTCAACTGGATATCATAGTGAACTAAATTTGTCAGTAAAGATTTCTTTATACCTGTAAACGACTTCACGAATTTTCATTTTTCTTCCTGTGACAAATCTTCATTTATCTTTACTGATGTCCAGTTGAGCTCATCTGACATCGTAGGTGTAGGAATTTTATCTACAGCATCTACTACATTTTGATTTCTCACATTACATGCATTTATGTTTTCAGTGATTGTATCATTCTCATTAAATTTTCTAAAAATACTTCTTTAACATGTTGATATAGTGAATGTTTAACTTGTTCTTATAATCAATTTCATAATCAACATTAGATATTTTCCTGGTTACCCTAAATGGCCCTTGCCATTCAACACATAGTTTATCTGGCTTTTTAGGTAACAAGACCTCATCTTCTGCTGTCAACTCAATCAGCTTACTTGACCTATTTACTTGAGACATCATGTGTACTAAAGCTGTCATAGGGTTCATATCCATGTGCAATGACGCTGGTTCACATCTCCGGACTTTGCCTTTAAAGCTGTTTGCCTTTAAAGCTGTCGTAGACATGTACTGTGTCTAAAGACAACATGTCAGCCAAAGCTGTCATACAGATATACTGGACAATGCCTAAAGACAACTCAACCAAAGCTGTCGTTGAGGTGTACTGTCTAAAGACATTGTCAACCAAAGCTGTCACACAGATGTACTGGACACTTCTCTAAAGTTATCGTGTCAACCAAAAGCTGTCATTCAGATGTACTGTCTGAAGACATCAAATCAACCAAAGCTGTCATAAAGAAATGCTGGACACTGTCTAAAGACATCATGTCAACCAAAGCTGTCATTGAGGTGTACTGTCTAAAGACATCATGTCAACCAAAGCCGAACTGTCTAAAGACATCATGTCAACCAAGGCTGTCATTGAGGTGTACTGGACACTGTCTAAAGTCATTGTGTCAACCAAAAGCCAGAAAAACAGTTTTTTTTTTTTTCTGAGTGAGAGTGTGAACTGCTGACTGTGTTGAATATCTCTTTATTGCTGGAATCAGCAGAAATAAACAATTCTCTCAAAAGTTGAAATATTTCTGTATTTTCCTCATGTTTGCAACTCTCCCAAAGAGCCAGCTTTAAAAAACTATTTTTTATTTAGGTATCGATATTATTTCAAAGTATAAATATTTGAAAAAAGGTCGTAAAATAAAATATTTGAACAGTCTGTTTAAGATATTCCAGGGGAGTACACAGCAGCACTCTGTAGTTTTGTCTCCTGGTCTCTACTTGCAGATCTGTCAGATTCTCACCGTGGTCTGCAAGAAGGAGGGCCTAACGTTGCCACCAGAAATGGCCAGAAAAATTGCTGAGAAGAGTGGGCGCAACCTAAGACGAGCATTACTGATGTGTGAGGCATGCAAAGTCCAGCAGTAAGTTTTAAGCCAGTCAACAGTTTTGGCACTTATAGCAGTAATTTATGAACTAGTTGGTGAAAGAGCAGTAGTTTGATGAATTAGCTGGTGATTGATCGTTCAACCAGTTTGTTAGGGCAGTATTTGTTTTTAAAACCTGTTCTTGGTTGAAGCAGTAATGTTGAAACTAGTTGGTTATGCCAGGTTTCCCTGTTAACCCTACCAGACCTGAGGCCTTGAACCTAACTGTCCCCTATACCTGAGCTCCTGGGCATTAACGCGGAAAAACCAACATGATATACAAAAATATTAGTTACATGCAAACAAGTGGCTAGAATAAGATGAAACATTGTAGAAAATAAGCTTATCTTTTATCTAGCGCCAATATTCCACCTTTGTGTGCCAATCCACTCAGGAGGATCAAGATTGTTTCACAAAGTGAGCACCAGATGTTGCTGTTTGAGGGACACACCCCCTTCTCTTACTACCGATCTATTTCTAGATTTATAATTTTCAAGCTTCTCGTTATTAGAGCTGAATGTGTCGCTTCAACTGTGAATGTATTCTTCACGAAATTATGAATCTGCAGAGTCTGAATAAACCAAATAATCGATCACCTTTTGAACTGTGAAAAACCTAGACCTACTTCACTTTCCTGTCGAAGTGCTTGGTTCATCAGCCGCTCGTTTTATTGTGAATTTTCAGAATGTGTTCACATAAAACAACAAATTGTATCCAAACACATGTGGGCGGACATCTAGGAAGACTATCCACAAGATCTGATGACGATTGGCTAGTCATTTTCAGTTTGCGACGCATCTTTTCCACTCACTACTCGAATGGCCGAAAATTAGGGACAGCGGTATAGTGTCAGGTTAAGAAATTCCAGAAGAATCGGGCCAGCAGTCTGGTAGGATTAATATGTAAACTGAAATAAGCTGTAGCAGGATTTATCAAAATGCTTGTAATACAAGCCTGACCACCAAATAGAAGCCTGACCACCAAATAGAAGCCTGACCACCAAATACAAGCCTGACCACCAAATAGAAGCCTGACCACCAAATACAAGCCTGACCACCAAATACAAGCCTGACCACCAAATACAAGCCTGACCACCAAATACAAGCCTGACCACCAAATACAAGCCTGACCACCAAATACAAGCCCTGGATAAGGTTAGCTACATGGATGGATTTTTTGGGTCTGTTTAAACACATTGTGGACGTATTGAATTATAAAGTAACGAATCTATAAATCTGTCTATGCTTTATATAATTTATAATAAATTTTGAGACCTCCAGTTGAGTGGCAAGTAGCTGGCCAGCTTATTACCACTGATGCTCTGAAAATTTATTAGTTTCTAGCCAGGGTTTGCTAATGCAAATTTTCCATTTCTGGACTAGGAGTCCAAAGGTTCCGTCACCAAGCTACTGAATTGACTGCTCGGTGTGTGGTGTGACACTGAGTTGTAGATTTTGTGCAGAATGTTTTTTCTGTTGCGCCTGCCACGGCTTTTTTGTGTGACCTGCGCTAAAAATAGCAGATGGTTGATTATGTTCAAAATAGCGTGTACATTTGTAGTATGACATGTACAATCCCAGATTTTGTAATTAACTGCTTGCATCAGTATTGAGCTGCAATTCTGCTGTCGGACTGTTAGTGTTGGAAAATCTGACAGCTGTCCTATGCATGTACTTGTTATGTTTGCAAGCTTCAAGAGTTTGCTGAGAAAACATGCTTCTCGCTGCTTTTCAAATGGGACAGTAAAGGACATTTTTTATGGTTTATGCTGGCAAATAGAGGGAGCATTTATGAGGCAACACCACTTCAGTGATCTGGGAACCTCGTCTAGTGACTAACTATAATTAAATATTTTTAAATACCCAGGTGAGTGCTTTTGAGTGAGATTTTTGTTCATTTGAACAAATGTAGATTTTTGGTACTTGAACTAATGTAGATTTGTTGGGGGGGGGGTAACTTGGGGGAGCAACGGTTTACTTCCTTTTCTTCTTCTTGACATTTACTGGAGGGTGGGTTTTGTTATCACCCAGTCAGTTGTGCGTATCTTAAACCGCAGGTACCCATTTAACACGGACAGAGATGTCAGCGAGCCTGACTGGGAGATATTTCTGCGGGAAACTGCAATCATGGTTGCTCAACAGCAGTCACCAAAACGGTTAGTGTGTGTGTCCATGTTTGCATATGTGTGTTTGTGTGTGCATGCTTGCATGTGTGTTTGTGATTCTGTGTGTCATTGCTGGCATGTGTGTGTCCGTGCTTGTTTGTGTGTGTCCATGCTTGCTGTAAATGGGTTTTTAGTTCTTTTTGGGTATCTCATACTCACTTTAGCTCATACACAGTTGACCCAGGCCGTTGTCTAGTGGTTCAGATCTACAGATTAGACGAGGAAGACTTATCTTCCACAAAACTACCACATTTCTCTAAGTGACAGTCGACGATGGTTATCGTCAGTTCCAGGTTAATTCAGTGTCATTCAGTATCATGTGGTCTATTCTTGAGAACTACGGGCTACAAGGACAGTTACTAGAGAAAATCATAGCCCTGTACCACACAAGCCAGTGTGCAATAAGAACACAAGAAAGCATATCAGATATCTTCACCGGTGTGAGACAGGGATGTGTGCTCTCCCCACTTTTATTTAACATTTATATAGACAGAACATCTAAAGAAGCAAGTTCTGATACAGACAACATAGACCTTTATAATCATGAGGAAGTACACACATCAGGAAAAGTTATCGATTCACCCACATTAAACAAACTACTATTTGCTGATGACCAGTGCTTGTTCTACCCTGAAGAAGATAGACTGCAAGACCACATTACCAGGTTAAACTCAGCATGCAGTAAATACAACATGAAGATCAAGTAAACAAAACTGAAACAATGCAGGTTAGTAGAACCCCTGCCCCACTACACATACAGCTGAATGTTTCTGATCTGAATCAAGTTAGGGAGTTTAAATATCTAGGAAGTATGATCACAGAAGATGGTAGAATTGACAGAGAAATAGAAACCAGATGCCAGAAAGCAAGTACACTTATATGCCAATTGTCACCATTATTAAGACATCCAAGCATAACTATGAGTGCAAAGAGACAGATTATTAATAGCATAATTATTCCAACATTAAGCTACCAGTGCTAAACATGGACTCTACCTAAAGCCCATGTACGCAAAATCACCACCTGCGAGATGAGGTGCCTGAGAAAAGCAGCCAACCTAACCATCCGAGATCGAGTGAATAATGAAACTGTCAGGCAAATTGTGGGAACGACACCTTGTACTAGATTCATCGAGAAACAGCAGATCAGGTTGTTTGGCCATCTCGTTAGAATACCGCAAGATCAAATACCGTCACAAGCACTACATCTCAGAAGATCAGTTACAAGAGCAAGAGGACGGCCACGGTAAACATGGATCGACAATATTAAAGACACTCTACACCTTCATGGCATGACAATAGCAAGTGACCGCCAATGTGCACTGGACTGCAAATTATTCCTCCCCACGACACTTAATGGCAGAAGTGGTTTATGATGATGATTCAATATCATATCAGCGACAAACATCAAAATAACAACCCCACTTATGCCATCCAGGCGAGGTTCACTTTCTCACACCTTTGGGTTTACAGCCATTCCACAGTCAACATGGATCTGCGCACGGTCAGTTCTGTCACAGAATCCTAACTAGTCAGTGATTCCCCCAGACTTTGTGTTCACATGTGAGTTCAAAGGTCTCATTTTACCATCTCCACATTAATCTTATGTCTCTTGCTCTAGGGACTTCCCCAATTCTGTCAGTCAGTCAACCCTTCACGTCACACCTGTTTATAACATCATTACAAGTCTGTAACATCATTACAAGTCTCTCCTCCCCTCAGACCAAAAAAAAATTATGTGCAGTATTTTTTTTCCTGAGTTGAGTTGAGTCGAGAATTGATGTCACAGCACTCGGGGCATTCCCAAGCATGCTCCGTCCTCATCTTCAGCAACCAGCACAGAGTTCCAATACTTATGGTACCGGTCACAATCTGGTTAAAAGTCAGTCTTGTCTGTCCTCTGAGTGTAGTGAGCCAGCCAGACCCTATGGTTACACCCAGATGCCTCATTCTCTCCAGGCCCTTATAATTTTCTTTCTCTACTGATTACGTTGTTTGTTCCCGAAGGACCTTGACCACATCTGCCCTGTCATGTATCAACTCACCACGCCGTCATGGCGTGGAGAAAAGATGCAAAGTATGCTCACCACCCGTGACTTTTCCAGTGAAGCTAGCCACCCTGCTTGAAGCATCCCTGTCTTCATCTTTTTCAGCTTGCTTTCAGAGTCTATTAAAATTACGACATGTGTAAACATTTTGTTTTCTAGCCACCGGAGAGCTGCAAATGCCGCCTCCACCTCCATTCTCATGCTAGATGTTGTGTCATATGCTAGGCTGTCTTACACTAAAGATTTTCCATTGGCTTTCGCTACGACCCCCAGGCACTTCTCTTTCCTCTCAACACTGAACCATCTGTATAGAAAATCAGATCACCTGGGCGTGAATTAACTGTTGGACTTCAACCTCAGTAGCACTCCGCTGGCCACTCTCTGCACACCCAGCCCAATGTTGTCATAAACCTACACAGGTCAGAATTTCCCGCTGGTACTCTGACCCACTCCTCTCCTCGCCCAATGTTCTCCAGGATGCATACTTGTCTTATTGTGTCTTCTGCTTGAGCCATTTTCCTCTTTTCAGGCTCTGACCCTTACCTGCAATCAGTGCTTCATACAGAGGGTGTTATTTGTCTGCAGATACTCTGAGGTATGACTTAGCCTGCAGCACCTTTAGTCTATCTGCAGTAGTCGGCAATGCAAGGATGTATCGCCTGCATACAATCGGGGTGTCTCTTGTACATTTCAGGATCAGCCGCATAGCTTCCTTCTGTATGCTCTCCAGTTTTTCTAGCTGACTCTTTGAGACAGTGAGTAACCCCAGTCCATAATCAATCACTGAGATGATTAAGTGCTGGTAAAGTGTGAACAGCATTCTCTGCTCCATTTCCATCGCTGCCATAATCTTTAGTACATTGATTATAGCACTCATCTCTGTACACCAGTCGATCACCTTATCTACTGTCGCCTGTAACTCTTGAGCTATTTGATTCCGATCTCTCCCCTTCCTATATACGAGAACATCTTCTGCAAATGTCAAAAATTCTGCCAACTCCAGGTGTTTCCAAGTATGCAATCTTGATCGTAAAATCATTGATCAGGACAGGTGCCATTGCAGATCCCTGTAGTAGTCCTGGAGCTATAGTACATTTTCAAAGGTCCATGAGCCCAGGCAGAGAGCTACCTGGCAAGTAGACAGAACAGCTGGTGTCCAGTTCACCGAGCAAGGACAGACTTCCTTCTCCGTAAGCGCTTTCATCAAGATACTGTATCTGACTGTTGTAAGCATCTTCTAAATCAAGTGCCTCTGCCACCGTTTCCTGTCTGATCTGGAAACCTTCAAAGGTGTCATGCAGGATATCAAATTTAAACTGTTGTAATAATAGTGCCCAGCGGTACACCCTATCGTTTCTGTTTGCATCTATGTTCTGCAGTTTCACTAATGCCAAATTGTCTAAAATAACCATGAATTTTTTTCCAAGTAAAAATGTTTCAAATTTCTCTAAACTGTTTAGAATGGCAATGCCTGCCATTCCAAAACTCTGTATTTTATCTGTTTTTTTCTGATCCCACTTCAGTTTTGTTGGCTGCATTTTCTTTAATAATCCAAATAAAGGACAAGTTAATTTTGCCAAATTTGAAAAAAAAAATTTATAGTAACTCACGGGCTGACTAAAGACAATTTTTGGATGGATTAAAAAAAAAAAAAATAGTCATTACAAACAGTTCGACTTAAACAGGGACATGTATATAGTTGGAATTTATTTCTAGCTTCGACTTATTCAAATATTCGAGGTAACCAAATTTGACTTAACAGGATTTTATTTACAAACAAATAGAGAATGGGGTGTGGCTGTGACTCGTCTGGTCATGTTGACCTAAGCGAAATTTGTCTGATCAGAATTCGACTTAAGTGGACTCAACTGTACTATCTGTTTTGTTTCTCTCGGTTCCTCTTTCACTGCCTCAGAACATTGTTTTAGCGTTAAATTATTTTTCTGATCTTGGTAGAAGAGTTTTATTTTATTTTATTTTTTTAAATTTATTTGAATTCCTTATCCAGATTTACTGTCTGCTCTTGTATTTTTGCTGCACTTCTGGTGACTGCTCCCTGTCTGTGTTGGCATCAAAAGACAGCTGTCTCGGTTTCTCACTTGCATCAAGAGGGAGAATCAAAACCTACATCCACCCTTTCTTCTTCTCTTCCACCCTGTGTCTCAGTGAAGTGTTTGGGGGAGATGTAACATTCGATGAGCTCTGTCAATAGCATTATTAAGTTTATTATTCGATGTTCATTTCTGAAAAGGCTGTTCCTAATGCCATTACTCTTATCTTTTCCGAAGTATTCCGCTTGCTCTCAACCCCATTAGTTGCCCCATCACTTGATTAGCTTAGGCACAACTCGAGCTAATTTCTCTGTCCAGTTTTCTATCGGATGTGAAAATTGTTCCCAATTACTTAAATTTCTCTGTCTTAAGGCGTTTTTTAATTTTATTTCTAAAATGTCTTTCCGTCTTCCTATCACCATTGTCTCTGTGACGCAAAACCCTAACCCTAGTGAGTTAAAAATAAACCCATTTAACGGCTGTTTGTCTATACTTGCATATGTGTGTGTCCTTGCTTGCATGTGTGCGTGTGTGTGTGTCCATGCTTGCATATGTGTGTGTGCCCATGCTTGCATGTGTGTCCATGCTTGCTTGCTTGTTGTGAGTGTGTCACCATGCTTGTTTGTGTCCATGCTTGCATGTGTGTGTCTCTGTGCTTGCATGTGTGTCCGTGCTTGCTTGCTTCTGTATCCCCATGCTTGATTGTATATATTTATGCTTGCATGTGTCCATACTTGCATATGTGTGTATCCATGCTTGCTTGTGTTTGTGTGTGTCTATGCTTGCATGTGTGTGTGAGAATGGATGACTGCTGTTCTGATACAACAGAAATGTGTTTGGTACGGCTGATCGTAGAGTGGAGTGCATAGCTCTTCACACAGTGCTACACAAACATCGAGTGTAGGCACCTGCTACACAAACCTCAAGTGTAGGCACCTGCTACACAAACCTCTAGTGTGGGCACCTGCTACACAAACCTCTAGTGCACGCACCTGCTACACAAACCTCTAGTGTAGGCACCTGCTACACAAACCTCTAGTGTAGGCACCTGCTACACAAACCTCTAGTGTAGGCACCTGCTACACAAACCTCTAGTGCATGCAGCTGCTACACAAACCTCTAGTGTACGCACCTGCTACACAAACCTCTAGTGCACACACCTGCTACACAAACCTCTAGTGCACGCACCTGCTACACAAACCTCTAGTGTAGGAACCTGCTACACAAACCTCTAGTGAAGGCACCTTCTACACAAACCTCTAGTGTAGGCACCTGCTACACAAACCTAGTGTAGGCACCTGCTACACAAACCTCTAGTGTAGGCACCTGCTGATGGGATTGTATGGAATCTTAACCGAGAAATCCTCAGGAAGCCAACAGTCAGTAAGTACATAATTGTGACTGTGTCCCTTTGTCAATGATTTGGGTACAGTGGTGTGATTTCTGTTTTGTCCATTAAACGAGTACAGTGGAGGGATTTGTGTCCTTTTGTCAATGAGATGAGTATAATGATATGATTTCTGTGCCGTCCATGAAATGAGTATAATGATATGATTTCTGTCCCGTCCATGAAATGAGTACAATGGTGTGATTTGTGTCCTCTTGTGCAGGTTGCTGGAAGTCAGGGCTAGACTGTATGAGCTGCTGACACACTGCATCCCTGCAGACATCATCATGAAGGTAAACTCATTTGCACAGACTTCTCTTGTCTGGTAACTTTATGATTGTGGTGACAATACATGCACACAGACTTCTCTTGTCTGGTAACTTTATGGTTGTGGTGACAATACATACACACAGACTTCTCTTGTCTGGTAACTTTATTGTTATGGTAACAATACATGTACATACTTTTCTTGTCTGGTAACTTTATTGTTCTGGTGAAAGTACATGCACACACTATGCTATAACTGATGTTTGTGTGTGTCACTCACCTATGCTATAACACGTTTGTGTGCATATCTCACCTGTACTATTAGTGATGTTTGTGTATGTGCTTACTCTATGCTAAAACTGATATTTAAATATGCCTGTGCACACCTTGTCTTTGTTGACTAGGGAGGTGAATGTTTGTGGAAACTTTGCTAATCAGTAACTGACCTGCTTCCCCCCAGGGACTGCTGCAGGAGCTGTTGTCTGTGTGTGATGGGCAGATCAAAGCCGAGGTGGTTCAGAGTGCAGCCTTCTACGAACATCGCTTGCAGCAGGGGCAGAAGGCGATCTATCACCTAGAGGCTTTTGTCGCCAAGTTTATGGCAATCTACAAACGATTCCTCGAGGAGGGGATTGCCGATATGTTTTAG